AGAGAGAGAGAGAGAGAGAGAGAGAGAGAGAGAGAGAGAGAGAGAAAGTGATTTCATTATTATTATTTATGTGATACAGGATCTCACTATGCAATTCAGGTACAAGGTTATCCTCCTGTCTCAGCCTCCCCAGCACTGGGATTATAGGCAGGCGCTGCCACGCTCGGTTTCAGTGGCCTACATGGCATGTGGTGCTGGGGATCGAACTCTGGTCCTTGCATTTTCCAGGCAAGCACTTAGACCACCAAGCTCTCTCTCCAGCCCAGAAAAAACAAATTATATGAATTAAAAGCTAACAAAAACTCTCACAGGGTTGAGAGACACAAATCTCCAAGTAAGAATTCACATTGAACACCTAGTACAAAAAAATGAGAAAGCCACCAAGCCATTGTGCAAGAAGAGCAAAAAGAAGATCCTGAAGGCTTTTAGAAGAATGAAACAGATCTGGGCCAAAGGAATGTGAAACACAATACCACTGCCTGAAAGGAGCCATAGGACAGAATCTTCACAGTTCTAAAGGAAGAAGGCTTATATACCTAGCTAAATTTGGATCAAATATGAAGGCAGAAGGTTTTTTCTTTTTCTGAAAATGTTTATTTAGTGCAGGGTCTCCTACACAGCTTGGACTCTTAGCGATCCTATGTCAACCTCCCCAGCACTGGGATTACAGGTGTGTGCCACCACGCCCAGTTTCAGTGGCCAGCACAGCATGTGGTATCAGGGATTGAGCCCCAAGTTTTGCAAACATATAAGGTTTCAAATTGTTACTTCCTGTGCACCTCTATAAAGAAGAAAATCTTGTGGATGCAAGGGTTCAGTTTAAGAAAATCAAGGTAACAGCACATTCGTAGAACAAGGCAGATTTGCAGAATAATTGATCATCTCAGTTGACACATGAAACAGCATTGGACAAAATCAAACATCTTTTCGTGATGAAGATACTCAGAACGGCTGGCCAGATAGCTCAGCAGATTAAAGTGCCTGCTTAGGCAGGTGCAGCAACCAACCGGGGTTGATCCCCTGGCCCGTGCTGGCCCTGCCCCCAGGACATACTGAGATGGCAGTGAATGAGATTGGGCATAGTGGCACATGCCTGTAATCCCAGCGCTTGTGAGGCTGAAAACAGGAGGATCACTAAGAATCCGATCTGTGTTGTATGACCGTGTAGACCCTGGACTAAAATTTATTTTATTTTATTTATTTATTTTGGAGGAACGGGGGATTGAACTCAGGTCCTTGCGCTTGCCAATGAAGCACTTATTCCACTGAGCCAATTCCCTGGCACCCTAAATTTAAAAAAAATAATAATAATCAGAAAGCTAGTATTAGAAGAAAGTTTCTAAGCCAGGCATGGTGGCCCACAGCTGTAGTCCCAGCAGATGGTAGGCTGAGACAGAATGATTGCTGCAAGTTCAAGGCCAGTTGGAACTACACAGCGAGACTGTCTTTAAAATTACCAAAAAAATGGGGCCAGGGAGATAGCGCAGTAGAATAAGTGCTTGCCTGGCAAGCACAAAGGCCTGAGTTCAATCCCCGGTTCCACCAATAATAATAATTATTATTATTATTATTATTATTATTATTATTATTATTATTATTATTAATATAATTAGAAAAAAAAGCAAACTTCCTCCTCGTAACAAAGAACATCTACAAAAAACCCAAATGGCATCACGATGGTGAAAGACTGAGCACTCCTCCCAAATCAGGAACAAGACAAGGATGCTCCTCTTCACCACTGCTGTCCACTCTTATGCTGAAAGTAATTAGATTAAAAAAAGAAATAAAAGGCATCCAAGCTGGAAGGAAGAAGTAAAATTATATTCACAGATGACATGATCTTATAAAAAACTGTAAGAAAGCTGCTAGAAATAATAAACTTGAAGTATACAAGATCCACATAGAAAAATTAATTGTGTTTCTATACATGTGCAATGATCAATCCAAAAAGGAAATTGGGTTGGCTAGACAGCTCTGTGTTACTCTAACAATTACACCCAATAAAGGTAGGAGGATTTTTTTTTCCCCCAGACTCGCCTAGAATTTGTCACCTTCCTGCCTTAGTCTCCTAAGTGTTTGCTAGATAACAGGCTTGTGCCACCATGCTCAGCTGAGGGGAAAATATTTTTAAAAATCAGATGGCAGTAATGGTAGCAATGCTGCTGAAAAGTGCTTAAAAAGGCCAATTTTATGTGAGACATATTTACCACAATAAAACAGTTTGTTAAAAGTAAAAACCAAAGGGCTGGTGAGATGGCTCAGTGGTCTAAAGCACCTACTTAGAACAAGCTAAGCTTAGCAAAGCACAGGGACCGCGGTTCAATCCCCCAGCACCA